CAAATATTATTTACTGTCATGACAAATATAAAATAAATCAGTTATTAGAAATTAGTTATTAAAACTATTATGTTTAGAAATGTGCTGAAAATCTTCTTGCCTTTTAAACAGAAAATGGAGGAAGTCGTGAAGTTTTGAGATCTTAAAGAGCGGGTTGGATTGTAGCGAGACAGAAGGTTGGGAAACAATTGTTGTGACTTAAAGGGACACACTACAACAGTTTTTTGTAATTAATTAATATTGCTATCATGTACATCATCATCATCTTCACATCTTGTAAGAGATCAAATCTGTCTGCATGTAAAAACAATAATAATTATAATATAATTAAATAAATTAATATATTAATAAATTAATAATATAATTATTTGGTAATTAATTATTCAATATGTATTGTTTTTACATGCAGGCAGATTTTATCTCTTACAAGTTGTGAAGATGATAATGATGATGTTGCACCTAGGGCCATGGGCGGATTGGCAAATGCCAGAAGGGCCGGACCATTTTTTAAATGTGGGCCGGTCAGTTTATTATTAATTAATTAATTAATTAATTAATTAATTAATTATTATTAATACTATCATGTACATCATCATCTTCATCATCTTCACATGTTGTAAGAAATCAAATCTGACTGCATGTTTCAAACAATACATATTAAATTAATAATTTTTTAATTAATTAATTAATTTATTTATTTATTTATTAATAATTAATAAATGTATTAATTAAATATGTATTGTTTTTTACATGCAGGCAGATTTGATCTCTTCAAGATGTGAAGATGATGATGATGATGATAATCATGATAGTAGTAATAATAATAATAAATGTTAAGTATTTGGCCTAAACCGCAACGGCCAGCTGGTTTTCAGATAGGCCGACCCAATCAGAAGTTACATAGACATAATGAAAAAATGTCAAACAAACAGTGAGTGCTAATTGTCAGTGATGGACCTTAAAAAAGGAAAGGCGGTGACGAAAAGCTCTGAGAAAGCAAAAAAAGGGCTCTAAAATCAGACGCTGCCAAATGCATAAAATTCACTGAGATAGTCTCAAAAGGGTTAAATTTGGCTGCTGCATCTGAGGACAGTGGCGCGGTAGAGGAGGTTAAAAGAAAACAGGAAATATACTTCTAAGTCATTATGCTTTAAAATATCCTAAGTAATTTTCACGCCATTCACGCTACTTCTGATGGCAAAGTTTTTGACAGTAACCTACACTCTGTTTAACAGTTGTAAGCTTGGCGTAAAACTCCCATACATTTTAAAATGTCATTATCAGCAGATAATGCGGAATTTAGGGTACATCGACTGTATGTTTTACTGTACTTTAAATTTGTTATAAAAGGGTTGTTTTTGTTCCAGTCATATACATTATAAGTTTAAATATCTATTACATATGGTACTGCTTGTATTATTTCACCCTCTGTACACCAATATAAGTAGGGAATGTGTGTGTCCATGGGTGGGTCTGTATCTGTGTGGTGATGTGGGCTTGTGTGGCTACAGTGCCAGGGGGGAATTTTTGTCCCAGTCCGCCCCTGCCTAGGGCTGGGGGATAAAATCGGTATCTATTTATTGACCGAACACCGTTTTCAATATTAAAAAAAATAAAAAACGTTCGGTATATAGTTTAGGCATGAAGCGCTATAGTTTTATTAAGATGTGGCTGCTGAGAGCACCTTGGAAGCAATGCCAATAAGCTTAGGGTGTAAGTTTGTCATTTCCAATGGAGGTGCGGGACTTGCACGACGTGCACATTGGACGACGTGCCATGTTGTGCAAGGGTGTGCATTTTCCAGCCGCACCTAGTTGAAAACATGAACTTTTCTGAATGCTGCGAGCACACAACGTTTCATGTAGGTGGAACTAACCAATCTGCTTTACTTTGTGAGGAATATACACATTTCAGTACTAATTTCCTCAGACAAACACAGCACACCCAAACACTGCAGCGCTTTTTACTGTTCTCCATAAACTTGCATCAGAGCAGCAGCAACGGTTTGTCTGTTAGTCATCCTCTGAGAAAATGGTTAATTTGGTGTTAAACTAAATAATAATTTAATCATATTTATCATTATTTAAAAGTAAGATTTTTAATGCCTACATGCTTTTTAAAATCCTCATACAGGCGCAGGGCTTTTATGAAAATTATACATCATAAGTAAGTCACTCATTCTGCGCAGAATTGAGTTAAAACTCTGCAGATTTATGCAGAATGCAACTAAAAACTTAATATATGAATTAAAACTAATACCTTTTACTTGATGAACAACTTTTATTTAATGTTTACAATGCAAATCCAATTAGATCCACTTATTTGATAAACAAAGCAAGTCCCTCATTCAGTATATGTCTACTAGAAGACAGAAGATATGACTTGACAAACTGTATTGTAGGGCTGTGCAATTAATCGAAAATCCGATTTGCTTCTAACAATTATGAAAAAAACATTAATAGAGATAAACGATTATTGCATCATATACCGCCCCCTTTCTAATTGTACACATTTGTTGCTCTTAAAAGCGCGAAAGAGCGCGTGCTTATGTGTGTGTGTGCGTCCCTCACTGCTCTTAACTGAAGGATTGTTGTAGCTAAAGTGTTTTTCTTACAGTGAAGATGCTTAAAGCACAGTTTATTTCATAATTTTATTCTATTATATTTATTTCTCTTTTCTTTGCAGGGTGAAAAATAACTGTATAGATACGGTTGAAGTCAGAATTATTAGCCCTCCTGATTATTAGCAACCTTTTTCCTCCCCAATTTCTGTCTAATGGAAAGATTTTTTTTTTCAACTTATTTCTGAACTTTCATTCATTCATTCATTTTCTTGTCGGCTTAGTCCCTTTATTAATCTGGGGTCGCCACAGCGGAATGAACCGCCAACTTATGCAGCAGGTTTTTACGCAGCGGGTGCCCTTCCAGCCGCAACCCATCTCTGGGAAACATCCACACACACTCATACACTATGGACAATTTAGCCTACCCAATTCACCTGTACCGCATGTCTTTGGTCTGTGGGGGAAACCGGAGCACCCGGAGGAAACCCACGCGAAGGCAGGGAGAACATGCAAACTCCACACAGAAACGCCATCTGAGCTGAGGTTCGAACCAGCGACCTTCTTGCTGTGAGGCGACAGCACTACCTACTGCACCACTACGTCGCCCATTTCTGAACATAATAGTTTTAATAACTCATTTTTAATAACTGATTTATTTTATCTTTGCTATGATGGCAATAATTAGTGTAATTAAGCAAGTCATTGTATAACAGTAGTTTCTTCTGCAGACAATCAAAAATATATTGCTTAAAGGGGCTAAAAATATTGACCTTAAAATAGGTTTCAAAATATTTAAACCTGCTTGTATTCTTGTCAAAATAAAAGAAATAAGCCTTTCTCCAGAAGAAAAAATGTTAGAGGAAATACTGTTAAAATTCCTTGCTTTGTTAAACATCATTTGGGAAATATTTATTTAAAAAATATTTAATTCTCAGGAGTGCTAATAATTTTGACTTTAACAGTAATCGTTTTGAATAATCGTAATTACAATTATGACCAAAATAATTGTGATTTGTGATTTTTCCCAAAATCGAGCAGCCCTACTGTATTGTAAATAAATCATATGAAACATTGTCATATTAGCCAATAATATTACTGAAAATAATAACAGACTAAATACAGTGCATCGGGAAAGTATTCACAGCGCTTCACTTTTTCCACATTTTTTTATGTTACAGCCTTATTCCAAAATAGATTAAATTCATTTATTTCCTCACAATTCTACACACAATCCTCCATAATGACAATGTGAGAAGATTTTTTTTGAAATTGTTGAAAATTTATCAAATAAAACCTAAAAAAAAAATTCCATGTACATCAGTATTCACAGCCTTTGCCATGACGCTCTGAATTGAGCTCAGGTACATTCTGTTCCCACTGGTCATTCTTGAGATGTTTCAGCAGCTTCATTGGAGTTCACCTGTGGTCAATTCAGTTGATTGGACATGATTTGAAACGGCGTACACCTCCCTACATAACCTCCCAGGGTTGGCAGTGACAGACTGGGGCGACGGTTCATCTTCCAGCAAGACAATGACCCAAACCAAATTATCAATGGGGTGGCATCACAACAACTCTGTGAATGTCCTTGAGTGGCCCAACCAGAGCCCAGACCTAAATCCTATTGAACATCTCTGGAGAGAACTGAAAATGGCTGTACACCGTCGCTTCCTACCCAACCTGATAGAGCTTGAGAGGTACTGCAAAGAGAAATAGGTAAAAATATCCAATGACAGGTGTGCCAAGCTTGTGGCATCATATTCAAAAAGACTTGAGGCTGTAATCGCTGCCAAAGGTGCATCAACAAAGTATTGAGCAAAGGCTGTGGATACTGATGTACATGTGACTCAGCGTTCCTTTGATGCGACTATTGCGAATCAAAGTCAGCTTTATTGTCAATTCAACCACATGTACAGAACATACAGAGAATCGAAATTGCGGTACTCTCAGACCCTAGGTGCCTAACAGATAATATTAATACAAAAATCCTAATCCAAAAGGAATGATCACATTGCGATATCCATGCTCAAACGATGCTATCAAATAGACAAGCATGATTCTCATTGCCAGAATGACAGCGTGCAAGTGTGGAATAAAATCAGAGGGTGTAAACTCTGCACTTTTCCTTTAAGCACAGGCCTACTCTACGGCATGTGTGTGATAGATGTGCTGCATATCACAGTCAGATCTTGAGGGCAGCAGGCATGTGCCAATTAGATTGCGCCTTCCATGACACCACCCACTGTGTACCATATGTCCGTTCCGCTGAAATTCTCTTGCATTTGCAACAACAATCCATATGCATGAACTTTCCAACCGGAGTCTGAAAGATTCTCTGCAGTGTCTGTCCATCAAAGAGAAAATGGTTTCATGCCTTTTGCTTAAATGTGTGGCTGCTATTTCCCTTACTTATTTTTCATGGTTGTTTGTTCTGTAGATCGGAGGCCTGGAGCATCATTACCATTTCCATCACAGAAGGGTAGTCCGCAGATCTACTTTTGCCACCAGAGGCGCACACAGCTTCATTCACATGGACCCCAAGGTAAACCTCTACCTCCTCTGTTGGCCCCTGCATGATCATTTCACACCCCAAAATGAAGATTTAATCAGCGTTTGTTCTCTCTTAATTGGTTCCAAAATAAATGTTGAACTCAAAAGATTTTGAAGAATGTTTGAAACTGACAGATATTGACTCCCATAGTGGACAAAAATCCAGGATGAAAACAAAAACATACTACAAGTGTATACATTGTAAAAAATACCTGTTATGGCTTGTTTCCACTGACTGGTACAGTACGGTACGGTTCGAGTCGGTACGGGTCACCTTTATCAGGATTGCGTTTCCACTACCAAGGGTACCCTTTTGGTGGGTGTGGAGTACGACAGAAAGTTTAAGTCAATGTCATGTTCGCTCGAATAAATGTCTACAGTAAAGCAGTACGGGTCGCTTACATATAATATGAGAAGCACTTCTTACAAAACAGATGCTTTATACACATAAATACTTTGTTTTAAAATGTTTATTACTAACCTTTCTATGAACAGGATTTGATTATAACTGCAGATCAATGACAGTGCAAAATGCTTTCAGAGAAAGAAAATCAAGCTGTGGAATGGCCCAGCCAATCACCTGAGCTGAATCCAATAGAAAATACAAATTAATTATCAGATTGGATAGACAAGACCCACAAAACCATCAAGATTTTAAAACTTTGAAGTCTGTTAAAACACTCACACCTGAGCAATGCATGTGACTTCATTCTTCATATAAGAGGCGTCTTTAAGTTGCCATCAGCAAAACTCCTATATTTTTATATAAAATATTATATACATTTCAGTAGTTCAGTACTTTCTCCTCATGTTGTTCCATTGTTATTAAACAAAACAATTTATTTATATTTTTGTTTTGTTTTATTAGTATGTTTGTGTTGTTTGGGTTTTTACCAAAATCTGGTTAAATTTCTTGTTAACAGCTCCTTTAGAAATATTAATCTCAGGAAAAAAACATAACAGGTTCAATCCTATTCCCAACTGTATAGCTTAAACAATATATTGTGTAAAAATATTAAGTTATTTAAAAAAAAAAAAAAATTTGTTGACACCTGATTAACTTTATATTAAGTGGTAAATGATGACTGAATTTTCATTTTTTGGTGAACTACTCCTTTAAAAGACAATGCTATCTATAGATAAAGCTTACAATGGCAGCAAACTGCTGCAGTTATCTTCACAAAAACTCTCATTATGTTGGTCTGAAAGCCTCAAAGGAAACTATTGAATATGTTTCAAAAGTATAAAGTCCTGAAACGTGGCCATCTGACACGAGAGGCTGGAGTCTGAATCATAAACAGCTCGCTGATGCCGGAGGGCTGCTAGTTAAAATTTACAGCTCAATGTGGCAGCAGTGGTGCGTTTATGGCACATTTCATTGTCCGCATGTCCTGCGGTGCGCTGTGATTGTTGTGAGTTTATAACCTCAAGTTTGTTTGGTGTTATTTGCAGTACGCGGCAGTTTTCATCAGCCAGAAGGAACTATTTGCTGTGTCATTACACTTACATTTTTTTGTTGTTGTTGTTGAATCAAATTAACTTTCCTACACTACTGCAAAATGCTGGGTTCCACACAATGATTTCACAACACAAATTGCTTAAGTTAACATAATCGTTTTTACAAATTTAAGGGCAATGAACATAAAACAATTCAGTTTAAACATTGAAGGGCATCTATTTTACCCCTTTTTCAAGATTTAAGAGAAGTCTTTTGAGTCTCCAGAATGTGTCTGTTAAGAGTTTCAGCTCAAAACACCCATCAGATTATTTTTTAGACCTTTCAGAATATTAGAATTTTCTGCTCTACTATACAGCTGTTGTTGTGGCCTGTGCTTTTAATGCTAGTTCTCCCCACCCACCTTTCCCACGCGCCTGTCAGAGTGTGCCTCAAGCTCCACCTCACCTCCGTCTGTTAAACAGCACAGTGACAGACATAAAGGAAGCAGATCTCGTAGCGTTTGTGAGAAATACTACAGTAAGAACTTTCCCAATGATTATTTTATGTATTTGTTGTGGAGTTAATTCAAGCCTTTCTGTGACGAGGAGTCACACACAATGTCGTTACGAAGTTCAGGCATGCATACACACACACACACACACACACACACACACACACACACACACACACACACACACACACACACACACACACTCACACTCACAGAGCATATGCATTTAACTTTGCACTGTTTTTGCAAAGCAAATGTGACCGGATACAAGATAATATCCACTGCTGTATGAATATCCATTATGTTAATGTACAAAGTAAACCAGATTTAACATCCACAAACCGGGATTGAAGTTTTCTTTTATAATTGTTCTGACCTGTGGCTGTGGTGATGAATTACAGTGATTTTACCGTCTTTTATTACAAACAAGCTCTGTTTTAAAAACATTTTAAACTTGTAAAACTCATTCTTGATCATGTTTGATGATGATTGATGATCACAGAGAGCTGAACAGATCTTTTAATCCCGGTTGATTTGCGCACGTCCTGTCTTGTTGATATGATTATACACGTTACTATGCAGACATGATAATACGTAGCTGTCAATCAATTCAGTGGGCGGGAAAACCGCACTCCTACATCAAGTTGGGGTCAGCCTCGAGATGGGAGGGATTTGGATCCTATTTTAACATCAGGAAATTAAAAAAAGAGACTTATTGGCATTATCGCCCCAAAATGACTGTGGACACATATTGTACAGTACCTACACACAGTTCTGTCCAAACAACTTCGATGTTTTCATTATAGGTGCCCTTTAAGAATTGTGTTGATTCAACTCATTTTAAATAAGTGGTTTGACCAGGCAGGAAAAAGTGGTCATCATCTCAACTTACATTAATCAAACTAGGTCTGCACGATTTTGGAAAAGTCTAACATTGCATTATTTTGTTATTCTGCAATATACAGCAGGGAAAATTATGCGGGTTAAAATATTTTCACCATTTTTCTCATAAAACCGATTTCTAATGGTGCTGTTGACTTAAAATTTTTCCTGCATGTTGGTAACAAACAAAATAAACCCATAAATTTAGAGAACAAATCTAATTAGTTTACAAATTAAGTTGTGTGGCGACGCAGTGGCGCAGTGGGTAGCATGTTCGCCTCACAGCAAGAAGGTCACTGGGTCGCTGGTTCGATCCTCGACTCAGTTGGCGTTTCTGTGTGAAGTTTGCATTTTCTCCCTGCGTTCGCGTGGGTTTTCTCCGGGTACTCAAATTTCCCCCACAGTCCAAAGACATGCGGTACAGGTGAATTGGGTAGGCTAAATTGTCCGTTGTGTATGAGTGTGTGTGTGTATATGTGTGGATGTTTCCCGGAGATGGGTTGCGGCTGGAAGGGCATCTGCTGCGTAAAAACTTGCTGGATAAGTTGGCGGTTCATTCCGCTGTGGCGACCCCAGATTAATAAAGGGACTAAGCCGACAAGAAAATGAATTAATGAATTAAGTTGTGTAATAAAATGAAATGACACGGGTAAAAAGTATTGAACACATGATGAAAGGGGGGTGTAGAAAGCCAGTGAAATCCCAGACAGCAGCTAAAATCTATATCTTTAGTCCAACATACACATTAGCAGGAGGATGAAGATGAAACCAGAGTGGACATTTAACAAGACAGTGATCCAAGGAGACTCTCAAATGCTTTCAGAGAAAGAAGAAAAGCTGTAGCATGGCCCAGCCAATCACCTGACTCGAATCCATTTGAAAATACAAATGAATTATCAGATTTGAAAGACAAAGTCAACAACATCTTTAAAAATATATTTTCTGAGAAATATGGTGACGTGTTCAATACTTAATTTCCCTGCTGTATATTTGAGATGAGAAATGAACTAAAATGAAAGATGTGAATGAGTGTTGAAGTAGTCGTTTTCGACATTTCACATTGGCCAGAGTTCAAGTGTTCTCAAAGAGGGCTCGTTTTTCATTTTGAGATTGGCTTTTTGGTTATGGTGTCGTTTTCTGTGGCCTGATATGGTTTCAGCATCACAGGGTGACTTTCAGCCTGGGGTATCAAAAGCGCTCGATGCTCAATATTGCATAATTAAACAATAGCACAGATGGACTCTGTTTCAATCATCTTGTACAGCGACTCATATTCACAAACCTTTTTTTACGAAAAAATAACTTGCATTAAAAGCTTTGTTACATTTAATGCTCACTTTTTATCAGTCTTAGTGGGAATTTGCCATGACTGCACTGTAAAACATATCTGTTAATTATTGGTTTCCGTATTTTGTGATTCACAAGTGTTTATTTACTGTTGTGAATTGCATTATGGGATGTTGATCTCTGCTCTGTCGACTTTTGATGTTGTAAATTCAACTCTACAGTTTAACAAAGTGACTTATTGACATTTTAGCAGTTTCAAGTTATATATTGTGTAATAAATAATTTATAGAGAAATATTTCTGTAAAATAAAAGAAAAGGTGCTGGCAGTTTATTACAGTGTTTGTAGTGTAATATACAACACCAACCCAGACGCTATATAACTTTAAACTATTAAAAATGTTCGCAAAAGTCTTTTTTTCTAACTTTTCAATGTTAAAAGTTGTTGGAAAACAGATCAAGCTCCCATAATGCAATTCAAGAGCAGAAATAAATGGGGACAAATAAAAACAGGAATCACAAAATTCTTGTGAAAACTCTTTTTACAGTGTGGTGTAATTAGCAGATTTTTAAAAGTTAATTAGCATGAGCCAATGCAGATACTATTCTAGAAATATTTCTGCATAGCTAGAGATACATAATTGTGTTCGACACAGATATTTGCAGACTGTCGCTCAGTGTTGGGTGTAGCTAATTTGAAATAGTAGTGCTTTCAAATTATTCATCACATACAGGATAAAAATGAGCTTTTACAGACTGTGTATGTTTATGTATATATGTAGAAAATGGGGCAGCTCGGTGGCTCAGTATTAGCACTGTTGCCTCGCATCAAGAAGGTCACTGGCTTGAGTCCCGGCTGGGTCAGTTAGCATTTCT